TAGATTGCACATTGGAGTTTCGGGAGAAAATGGGCAGATTGGCAGAGAAAAAGCTAATAGAGAAGTTGACGTTGTGATCAACATGGTTAATAATAGTGTGGGATTGGGGAAAGAAAACAGAAAAACTTAGGTAAATAGGCTGCAGCAGGGAGAAATAAAAAAAAAAAAAAAAATTTACTTTGCGGATTGGGGAGGAAAGGAAAGAAAAAATAATAAGAATTGTGGTGGAGATATATAAGCCAAAAATGTTGAGATTTTTAAATTTCCACAAGAACACTAAAAATGTTAGGGGTAAAAGAATTGGACAATTAAAATTCACTATCGCCACCAAAACACAGGTCAATGGAGTACGGAGATAAAAAAAAAAAATTGGTATTCTAAGATTGCTATTGCAGATTGGGAACTTACAAACAAATAGAGAATTTTGGGTTGCAGATTGCATATACATATCATTTACATTGTAAAATTGAAATATATGGAACGGGTAAATAAAAAAAATTTACATTGATTTTGCAGATTGTGGAGAAAAGGAAAGAATAAAAGTACTTTGGAGTGGTGATTGCTCATATAAAATACAATGGTAGAGAGCAAAATTTTACAGAGCTATTACATTTCAATGTTGAATAGTAAATTTATTCAGTAGTAAAAGTATGACATAGTAAGTCGATACAATTGACGATGGAAATAAAACAAATTAAATATATTCACCAAAGTTCAAGATTGGGAAACGACAACACAGAACTTATATGTCAGTTGATATATTTTATAAAGGATAGATTGTGGTAGGAAATTGGGATTGGAGATTGGGAAATTGGGAGTGGAGATTGGGAAATTGGGAGTGGAGATTGGGAAATAGGGAGATTGGGATTTTGGGATTGGGAGATTGGGATTGGGAGACTGGGATTGCGAAATTGGGAAATTGGGAGATTGGGAAATTGGGAGATAGAGATGAAAATAGTTAAGGGTTGAGGAAATACAAGACAATTAAATTGTACTGTAATAAAAAAATATATACAATTTATGTGATGTAGATTTAAGAAGACAATCTGAAGTATTTATGAATAAAAAAAAAAAAATTCTAACGATTAACAATTGAATTAACAATTTTAATACAGACGAAATAGAGAGAAAAAGAGTTTTCATCACATGAAGGTAGATTTAAGGTAGAGAGAGAGAAAAAAATGAGTATAGAAGAAAAACACATTAGTTGAAAGATGAATAACCATAATGGAAGAGGATAGTTTGAACATTTTTATTAGGTTATTTTTTTCCATTTTTTTTTTCGTTGTTTTATTATTATGCTCTTATTGTTTGTTTTTTTTTTGTTTTCATTATTGTGTATATATTTTTTTTTCATTTAGTTTGTTTTCTGTATATTTTTTTTTTTTTTATTTTTTGTTATTTATGCTCTATTCTTTTGTGTTTTCTGGTTTTTAGTATTAAG